CCAACAAGTTGCACTTAGGAATAATCTTATTATTGTGTCATGTTTTTGATCTGAGTTTGTTTTACAGAATGAAATGTCTGAATGAGTGCATCCAAGACTGCTGATTCCATACTTTTTGCCAGGGGTTGTATCACAGCTTCAAATTTTTCTGTCAAGGAAAAAAAAACATTTCAGTTAAAAGTCAAGCTGCATCCTCTTTAAAGTTCTGCCACATGGATAGAAAGGAAGAAGCCAAAGTTTTAGATTTAAACATGGAAGAAATGACAGGTAGATGTCAGGAGAGAGGTTGAAGAGGGGTCAGCTACAAAAATAATGTCACTAAGCCCTGCAGGCAGCAACAGTGGTGTCAGCACCAGCCCTTCCTCATCTAAACAATGCTATATTTCTCGTTGGCTGTTTTCTGCCAGCTTAAACCACACAAAGAGAGGGTTTTTCTATTTTTTATCGTGATCAGCAGRTCACAACTCATAAACAATAGTTGCAGCTGCTGCCTACAGCACACTGCTGCACAATAAAATTCCATTGTATGAACGGTATGAACATGAAGTATGAACATGAAAAGTATGAGCATGTACAGTACTCAATACTTAGTTGGTGCTCCTTTTGCCTGGATTACTGCAGCAGTGCAGCGTGGCATGGAGTCAGTCAATCTGTGGCACTGCTCAGGTGTTATCAGAGCCCAGGTTGCTCTGATAGTGGTCTTCAGATCTTCTGAATTGTTGGGTCTGGTGCATCACATCTTCCTCTTCACAACATCCCATAGATTTTCTATGGATCAGATGAGTTTGCTGGCCAACTAAGAACAGGGATACCATGGTCCTGTAGGGGTCACCTCGAGGCGGAATAAACAGGCACTTCAGCATCTGCATCCATCCACGTCAGCCGTAACGAAGAGGCAAGGCTCACTGGGTCCCGATTCAAAATAAAACTCTTCCGGCAGGAAGATTTTAAAACAAGTTGCTGTAGAGCGTTTAAGCTCACAGTTTTCTTGGGCACGACCAGGCAGTGGTGTGCCCCAGCTGGGGAACCCATCCTTTGGCAAAATGGACGAGTTTCCCAGCTCAGGTGCTGTTTCTCCGGCAGGAGAGCCAGCTGTGTTGTGGACAGAAGTGAGTCTGTCTCCTTCTAATCCTAGATTATTGCYTCTGCACAGTTTGCATAAACAAAACATATCATGATGACCTGTTTGGATATTCTGTGATGAGAACTAACTAAAAATAAATCAAATAACAAGAAAATTGTTCTATTTATTATCTGATTAAGAAAAAGAGGATGTCTCTTTGATGGTTAAGATGACCTGTTGTGGCCCTCTTTAAAGGGCCCGTCTGAGGCCTGAGGTCCAAGACAGGTTTCTTGATTATTCCATTTGAGGTGACTCCTCCTTAGAGACAAGCTGATGCACTTCATTATCTGGGGGGAGTTCAGAGAAGAGTTGCTGCTCCTCCTTGTTGAAATAAGTCAGCAGAGGTTATTTAAGGATCCCAGCAGTTTGTCTCCTGGGCATCTTGTCTGGAGGTTTCCAGGCTTGTCACACTGGAGATACTATCTTCTCTGGCCTGAAAAATCCATGGGAACACCCCAGGAGGAGATGTTACCTGTATGACTGGACCAGGAATAATGGTCATAAAAAGGATGTTTAGATAAATACATTCCTATAAGATTTTGTATTGATTTTTACCGTATTTATTCAAGTATAATAAAGTACGTAAAATTATCCATCCATCCATCCATCCATCCATCCATCCATCCATCCATTTTCTTCCGCCTATCCGGGGTCGGGTCGCGGGGGCAGCAGCTTCAGAAAGGAGGCCCAGACCTCCCTCTCCCCAGCTACTTCTTCCAGCTCCTCCGGGGGAACTCCAAGGCGTTCCCAGGCCAGCCGAGAGACATAGTCTCTCCAGCGTGTCCTGGGTCTTCCTCGGGGCCTCCTCCCGGTGGGATGTGCCTGGAACACCTCACCAGGGAGGCGTCCAGGAAGCATCCTTACCAGATGCCCGAGCCACCTCAACTGGCTCCTCTCGACGTGGAGGAGCAGCGGCTCTACTCTGAGTCCCTCCCGGATGACCGAGCTTCTCACCTTATCCCTAAGGGAGAGCCCAGCCACCCTGCGGAGGAAAACCAT